TAGAAGTATTAGAAAAAAATTATTATGAAATGTAAAATAGAAGAAGGTTTGGAAGAAAAAAAACGTGAAAACAAAATATGAACAAATAATAAAACTTGAAAAAAAAACATATTTGAAGTGGATATATTAAATTTCGAACTCAAGAAATGGGAGATTTAATTGGAGCATATTTAACCACTACGTTATGGATGATAATTGTAATTTTGGGGCCTCTAAATTTATGTATTTTTTTGGGGCCCTAGGCGAATGCACAATCCTGTCTCTGCAATATGCATTATAGCTTATTCTTGTGGATAAATATGCATTCTTGCTTTACCACACAATAAAGTAGAGGTAAGGAAAATTTTTTTCGACCATTCTAATTTTCTCACTTATGTTTCAATCTTTTTAGACTGTTTCAATCTTTTAGACTGCTTCAATCGTTTCTTTTTATCAGGGCTACTTATTCTTTCTTTTTTTCCCCCGGCAAGTTTGTGAATTATTTCTCTACCTATACAATGAGGGACTAATTATATATACTATAATCCTGTATATATCCCATATTGTTTTTTTTAATGATGAGTGAGGCTCTTATGGTATGTTTTCTTATAAAATTCGTAAACACATATAAATTTTTTTAATTTTTTGTAACATATATGTTTGGTAGAAAATAAATTCGTATTATTAATACTAATAAAATCTTGTGTAGTCTTGTATTTATTAATTTTCATTAATTCCACTTAGCTTTTGACGTTTTTTAATCTTATATATATGATTTAATATTAAATGAAAACAATAAATATGATTTAATATGTATTAAATGGATGTTTTAAAATACTTAAATGTTTTAAGAAGTATTTTTTATCTATGTGGACATCCTAGATGGAGAGATAACTCTTTTATTATATAATAAATTTTACCTTACCTCTGATATAGAATGTAATGCTATATAGCTTATATATATGGATGGATTGGGAACATGATATTACAAAATATTGACAACAACAATCTTGATTATACTTTGCAATTCACAAGGAATATGAATAAAATTATATATTGCCGACAATAGTACAAGCATCGATCATTTGACTTTGAATATTTTTTGCATTGGTTTAGTCCATTGAGGGAAATTCTATGGTTTTCAGATGGAGTTTCATTTTTTTTTTTTTGGCAAATTCTCAGAAGTACCACTTTTAAGCTTTGATCCATAAAATACCATCATGTTCCTAAAATATCACTTAAGTTTTGATTTTCCAAAAATAACACAAAACTAAAATTAAATTACTCCCTAAAAACTAAACTCTAAATCTAAAATAGTTAACCCAAATCTAAAAAATTAAATTATAAATACTTGAAAATTAATTTATGTGTTTGTGGTATTTTTGGAAAACAAAAACTTTTGATGGTATTTTTGGAACATTAAACTAATTGTTATATTTTTAAAAACAAAACTTAAAAATGTGGTATTTTGAAA